AAAGAGATGATCAAGGGACTTGGGTAAAGAAAGAACACGTGTGTTGCCACCGATGGCTCAGTCAGTTCGGTCCTCTCCCTGTGCAGGTCTCTAGGTAGGCCAGTCCAAGTATCAAACAAGGGCCATCCCAGGCCAAGTGGGACATTTGCAAAACCCTGCCACAAGGAATGGAGAACTATCAGAATGGACTGGCAAGATGGAAATGACCATCAACTGACAACAGAAGTTCTGCCCTTCTCTGACACATTTTTATAAACCAGATGTGGTGGTAGCTCAAAGAAGAGATGATTTTTCTGGAGTTTGGACTACAGCAGTGGTGTGAACCTATGGCACGTGTGCCAGAGGCGGCACTCGGAGCCCTCTCTGTGGTCACACGTGACGTTGCCCTAGCCTCGCCTCCCCCCGTGACCCTCTCTTCTCCAGCAGCCCCCCAAAGGAGAGTCGCCCCTGAGCATGGCCCACGCAGAGCAGCGCAGCCAAGGACATGGCAGCCAGGCAGCGTAGACAAGACTGTGCCCTCCACGTATTATCATATTTGGTGGACATGTGGGAAGGCAAAGGCTTATTGGAAAAATATACATATGTGGTTAGAAAAAATATTGGGCAAACAAGTGGATTTTAAACCTGAACTTTTTCTACCAGGCATTATGCCTGAAAAAACTAATAAGCAGAAATTATATTTAACTTTACACATCACCACAGCAGCGAGAATAATTTTTGCACAATACTGGAAGAACGAAGGATTGCCATCAGAGGAAGAAATAATCAGGAAAATATTGGAATGTGCAGAGATCGACAGATTAACTATGAGGTTGAAAGACAAAGAAGATAGAGACTACTATCAAATTTGGAATTTATTTTATTCTTGGTTAGAGAAAAGAATGAAGGATTAGGAATTGAACATGTATTAGCTTAGCAAACTCCAGACAACTTGTTGATTGGAAAAATTAACATATGTTGATGAAAAAATAATTAATAATAAAAAAAGACTGTGCCCTCACACCCCATTGTGCACAGCTGATGCTGCAGGGCAGGGGCAGAGGGCGTGACCACCATAGGGCTATGAGGCTGCCTGGGTGATTGGCGGGCCCTGGAGGCGGTGAGTGGCCCTGCGGGCAGGCAGGACAGGGAATGGGAGGGCGGAGCAAGGGCAGGGTAGGGGTGAAGCGGGGGCAGGGCCAGTTTTTGGGCACTCGGTCTCTAAAAGATTTGCCATCACTGGACTACAATCTTCCATAAAGCCCTGCTGGGAGGTGGTAATGCAGAAAGTGGCATTTCTTGTACAGGTAGTCCTCCACTTACGACCACATTTGAGCCCAAAATCTCCGTTAAGTGAGACATTTGTTAAGGTGAAGCTTGCCCCGTTCTACGACCTTCCTTGCCACAGTTGTTAAGTGAATCACTGCAGTTGTTAAGTTAGTAACACAGCTGATGTCAATCTGGCTTCCCCCCATAGACTTTGCTTGTCAGATGGTTGCACAAAAGATGATTACATGACCCCAGGACCCTGCAACCGTCATAAGATACGAACCAGTTGCCAATCCTCTGAATTTTGATCACATGACCTTGTGCATGTTGCAATGGTTGTAGGTGTGAAAAAACAGTCATAAGTAAAACAGTAATTGTGAGAGGGACCTTGAGCATAGCTGCGGCCATCTTCCTTATTCATTTTCGGTTGACACATTGAAAGGAGGGAGGTGGGATTGCCAGGTGCTTCTTTGCTAGACTAAATAAACTTTTGTCCTGTGGGAACCAAGGTCATCGGCTGCTCCCAAGACTGCAGGCTGGGCGTTGCATAAAAAGCCCGCCAAGAAGATGTATTGGGGAACGTAGTTGTTTGCATAGGCTTAGGGGTGGGATTTCTTAACTTTGTATGGAGGAATTGTTACGTGTGTCTTCAGACTTGGTTTCACTTTTGACATGCCGATACTTTGTAACTAATAAACATGCTCTTTGAGGAATTTCCAAGCCTCCGAGTTCTACTTTATTTGTCTCTTGTCTGTCAGAACCTTGGCATCTCGTGGACAATCACTTAACTATGAGCCAGCAGTATGCAGCAGCAGCCAAAAAAGCTAATAAAATCCCGTATAAACAGGCATAGAATCAAGAACACGCGAAGTATTAGTACCACTTTATAAAACCCTGGTAAGACCACGCCTGTCATACTGCAGCCAATTTTGGTCACCGTATCACAAAAAAGATGTTGAGAGTCTGGAAAAAATTCAGAGAAGAGAAACTAAGATCAAAGGCTTGAAGACTAAAACATACGAAGAACGGCTGCAGGACTTGGATTTGGTTAGTCACTCTAAAGCACAGGTCAGCAACCTGCGGCTCCAGAGCCACATGCGGCTCTTTGAGCCTTCCCCTGTGGCTCCCAGCCTCCTCTGCCTTTGCAGAGAGAGACAGAGACAGACAGAGGCAATTGCGCTTCCCTGCTTCTCTCTCTCTCTCTCTCTCTCTCTCTCTCTCGGTGTGTGTGTGTGTGTGTGTGTGTGTGTGTGTGTGTGTAAAAGAGAGTGTACTCACAGTGTTCTCCGAGTAGCTGAAAAGCTTACTGGGTGGAGCTCCTCCCTTTGCTGCGTCTCTGCAGGAAGCAGGAAGCAGGAAGGGCAGGAGAGAGCTAGCTAGCCCAGCTAGGTTGATTCAGGAATTCTGGGAGTTGAAGTCCATGAGTCATAAAAGAGACGAGGTTGCCTACCCCTGAGCTTGTTGGACAACAGCTTGAAACTTGCCAGGTGAGCAGCAGATAGGAGGGGGGGGAGAGAGAGAGAGAGAGGGAGGGAGGGAGGGAGAGAGAGAGGAAAGAGAGAGAGAGAAAGAAAGAGTGGGGGAAGAGGAGTGGCAGACCAAGGGCAGATAGAGAGAGAGGGAGGGAGAGAGAGAGACAGAGAGAGACCCTTTTGACATCTAAAATGAAGATAACACTGCATATATCCTTTTTTTTAACCTCTCTGTGTGTGTGTGTGTGTGTATGTATATATATATATATACATACACACACACACATATATACATACACACACATACATACACACACACACACACACACACACACACACACACCTATAATAAAGGTAAAAAAGGATATATGCAGTGTTATCTTCATTTTAGATGTCAAAAGGGTTTTGCGGCTCCCGGTGTTTTGTTTTTGGTGGGAAACGGGTCCAAGTGGCTCTTTGAGTGTTTTGGGTTGCCTACCCCTGCTCTAAAGAAAAGAAGAAATAGGGGAGACATGATAGCAGTGTTCCAGTATTTGAGGGGCTGCCACAAAGAAGAGGGGGTCACGTTATTCTCCAAAGCACCAGAGGGCAGGACAAGAAACAATGGTTGGATACTGATCAAAGACAGAAGCAACCTGGAATTAAGGAAAAACTTCCTGACAGTGAGGACAATTAACCAGTGGAACAGCTTCTCCTGCTTGGGCAGGGGGCTGGACTAGAAGACCTCTAAGATCCCTTTCTATTCTATTCTGTTCTGTTCTGTTCTATTCTATGTCACTTTTTTGAGTGCTGTTGTAACTTTGAATGGCCACTAATTTGAACTGTTGTAAATTGAGGACTACTTTTATGCTGGGCATGTATTTTGCCATTGATCTCTTCCCCTCATGGAATAAAAATGCGATGGCAGCTTTCCATCGATGTGTTTGAATGCTTCTCTTTAATTTGAACACACAGGTGCAACCTCAGAAACCAATTTAAAAGTGTGGAACAGAAGGTCTCTTGCAAGATTAAAAAAAAAAAGTTAATCTGGTGTTAACCAGTGCCAGCCACATGAATCAGCAAAGTAGATGCAACACGCAGGATCCTTTCCTTCCCAGCCACCTGTTAATTTCTTGAGATAATATTGATCCGTTCCTGTTTGGGAAGCATTAATTGAAAGCCTAACCACCATGAGATCAGCAGCAGCAGTAGCAGCAGCTCCTGCAATCCTGGAGCGCCCCAGGCCAACATGGGTAGCAGAATCCCAGAGTAATAATAATAACAACAACAACAACAATAACAGTAATAATAATGACAAAAAAGTCTGGATAGTGGATGTGGCAGTGCCTGGAGACAGCAGAATAGATGAGAAAGAACTGGAGAAGATAACAAAATACAAAGACCTTCAAATAGAAATAGAAAGACTGTGGCAAAAGCAAGCAAGGGTAGTACCAATAGTCATAGGCGCCTTGGGTGCAATCCCAAAACAACTGGAGCACCACTTGAACACAATTGGCATTGACAAATTCGCTATTAGTCAATTGCAATAGGCAGCCTTACTAGGAACTGCTTCCATCTTGCGACGATATCTGTCATACCATCAAACATCCACATCTGCCTATCCCAGGTCCTGGGTAAGGACTCGATAGGTAGACAAAATGCCAAATTCAGTCTGAACATCTGGCTGACTGTGCGATGATCCATAATAATAATAATAATAATAATAATAATAATAATAATAATAATAATAATAATAATGATAATAATAATGATAATAATAATGATAGTCATAGGCTCCTTGGGTGCAATCCCAAAACAACTGGAGCACCACTTGAACACAATTGGCATTGACAAATTCGCTATTAGTCAATTGCAAAAGGCGGCCTTATTAGGAACTGCTTCCATCTTGCGACGATATCTGTAATACCATCAAACATCCACATCTGCCTATCCCAGGTCCTGGGTAAGGACTCGATAGGTAGACAAAATGCCAAATCCAGTCTGAACATCTGGCTGACTGTGCGATGATCGATAATAATAATAATATAAAAAAAAATTGGAAGGGACCTTGAAGATCATCTATTCCAAGTCCCTGCTCAGGCAGGAAACCTATACCATTTCAGACAAATGGCTGAGTTTGAAGGGGACCCTGAAGGTCTTCTAGTCCACCCCCAGTCTCCCCCCCACCCCCGCCCAGTGCAAGGAATCTGACACCCTTCTGGACAAACAGCTGTCCTCGTCACTTTCCCACGCTCTGTCGTCCTTACCCGCGGACACCCAGGAGGTCTTGTGAGCGTGCGGGTGTGTCGCGTCGGGCCAGCGCAAACGCAGTCTGACCCTCCGGCGACCTAGCTGAGGGAGGGGAGGAGAGCAACACCGGCGGTGCTGGTGGAAGAGGCGGTTTGAGCCCAATCTAACGGGTGGGGCGGCCGAGGAGAGCCGCCTGTTCCTTTAATTTGCTCCGTTCCTCCTCGCTCCATACTTGGAAACCGCATCTTCGCAAGCAAGACCGCGTGGTTCTCTCGGCGGAGGGGGGTGGCCGCTTCGGGAGGGGGGCTGACGCAGAAATTCTCCCTCCCTTCTCGGGTCTCTTCCCCACCCCACCTCTCCGCTCCCCAAATCCACCCTCGGTGGCAGCCGCTTCGCCAAGCAGCCGCGATGTCCTCCGAGAAAACAGGTGAAGCCCCTCTCTCGCGCGGCGGAGACATGGGGGGAGGGGAAGGGGGAAAAAGCGCGGGGGATCGCGCGTGCGTGTCTGCCGCGGAGACTCCCCCCTCCTTCCCCCCCCCCCAAGCCCGGGCAAAACAAGCCGGAGCGCCCTGGGCTAGCAAATGCCACGCATGTATTCCCACGCAGTCCGGAGGTGCGCATTGGCGAGGGAGGCAGGAGAGAAGCGGTGGCATGCACGGGATCGGTGGTGGGGATGAGAAAGCAAAGGGTGCATTTTCAGGGTTATCAGGAAGAGGGCCCGCTGCGATGCCCCGTGTCAGGGACCGGCTCCCGGTCCGCAGACGGCCTTAGGTCTTCATCTGGAAATCTAATACGGGGGTAGGGGAGCGGAGGGGGGGAGCGGTTGTGTCTCTGCAAGGATCTGCCGCACGTGGCGTGCAGCAGATGCCACCCCTGGGAAAGTGTTTGGGGTGGAGTGCAGAATATTGCCCGCCCCCCCCAAAAAAACAGCGTCCCAGCAGGGTCTGCGAAATGGGATAAGGCCCGGGTTTTGCGGGTCCGCGGGGTTATGCACCACAAGGTGTGTTGCGAGGCGAAGAGGTGACAGCCTAGTCAGATGTTTGCGGGGATGTCATGGATACAAGGGCTAGCACATGTGTGCATGTACGTGGGAGAGAGAGAGAGAGGGAGGGAGAGAAAGAGATGCAACGTTCTCTGTGTGTAGGTGACACTTTCTGTGGCAAAAACCAAAACCAAACCATGTTTACTACCTGGGCAGATCCCAAGGTGTGACTCTACCGTCCAGGTGAATGGGAGGGTTGCTTGGGATGTGTCGTTAAAGCATGTGCAGTTGTGTATGAGATTATGCAGGTAGGGGAGAGTGACAGTGGGATGATGTCATGATAGACAGAGGCCTGGAAAAAAAAAAACCCTGGAGCATTTGGTTTAAGCTTCGGAGGTTTCATAGGAAATTGTCGTATCCTTGATTGTCGTCTGGAGAACCGGGGTTGAAATATGCAGACACTACGCTTTGGAGTGGGAAGCAGATGGCACTTGGCTGAGGCTGTGTATGAGGAATTGGGTAGGACCGTCTGTTTGTATAGGATTGGGATTTCAAGCAAGTGGGCGCTGAAGTGTCCTGTGTGTGTTGCAGTTTGGATGTTGTTGTGAGAACGTGGATGTTGAAGGGACTGAGGGGAGTTGTTGAGGACATCTGGCAGCGTGGAAACATTTGTGGAAAGTCTGCCTGGGTTTGCAAACATGATAAGCTAAACTGTAGTTGGTGAGTTCTTGGTTCAATGTGTATGCAGACTCAGACTCTATGTGAGAACCTGAACAACTGGGGCTAAGTGAACAAGCCAATCTGGTTCAATGTTTGCCACACATATCTGGGTTCACTATGCATTTGGGATGTGCAAATAAGTGTGCACATAAGAAGAGAGTGAGGGAGAGGATCTTAAGTCAGCCTAAAGAATTGGGAATCCATGCATCTAAGTGCCTTATGAGGGGATATTGTTGAAGAGAGAACAAAACTTGTGAATGTTGGGAAGAACCTTGCTGGCTCAGGCAACCTTGCTGGATTAGTCCACACCGTGTTTTTCCCTGGGGCCAAGTAGAGGTTTCCACTTCCAGACATGTTCTCTTGCAACTGATATTTGAATCTAACCCCAACTTTCCATCCTATAGACCAGTGTTTCTCAACCTTGGCAACTTTAAGATCTGTGGACTTCAAATTCCATAATTCCGTAGCCAGCTACGGAAGGCTGAGAGTTGAGATCCACATGTCTTAAAATTGCCAAGATTGGTAAGTATTATTGTAGGTCCTTGGTAGTCCCAATTGTCTATGAATTTATCCAGGGTCTTTTTCAAAGAGATCCAATTTAATTGTCACCATCAAGTCTTGTAATGATTGCTACAAGTTAATTATGTTCTGTGTGAAGATGTGCTGTTTCCTTTGATCCCTTCTTAATCTCCTTCCAAGCTTCCGCCTCTCCTGTTTTAAGGGACTGAAAACTTTCTCCAGATCAGAGGTGATTTTGTACATCTGGGCCATGTTCTAGCCTTGATCATCTTTTTTCCCCCAATCAAATTGTCCCATATATTCAAGGTATTTTCTCATAGAGGAGATATTTCAATTCCTCCCAGTAATTTTGGTTGCCCTTTTCTGAACTTCTTCCAGCTCTATTACATTCTTTTTTTAAGGAAGTGACCACCAAAACCCTACCCTAGGTTTGCATAACCTAAGAATCACCTTATCAGACAGATGGGTGGCATATAAATTTAATAAATAAAACAGCTTGGATAGGGGGATTTGACTTTGTCAATGTGCTATCCTCTATGACTTCAAGTTTCTTTTCCTAATTCATTATAGACTACACAATGTGGATTAAGATTTGGGGACCTAATTCTTATCATTTTCCTGAAACTGAATGGCAATTGTCATTTGCTGGTCCGCTCACTAACCGTAGTTTATAGAGATCTTTTGCGATCGCTTGTGAGCTTTATTGCCCAAAATGGTGTCTCTCGTGAAATTGTCAGATGCAAGAAACCATGAACCAGGACAGAGTTCAAAAGCACTGTGAGTGTATTCCGTGCAACCTGTTCACAAGAATCTGCTATACCAGTGGTGGCGAACCTATGGCATGGGTGCCAGAAGCGGCACTCAGAGCCCTCTCTGAGGGCACGGGCGCCGTCGCCCCAGTCCTAGGCCTTCAGCTGGGTTTTATAAAACCTTTTCGCTTTAGGCCTCCGCTGCCGTGTGCAAAAAAAAAAAAAAGGTTCAATCAATCAGTCAATTTCAACTTCTCGCGGGGAAAAAAAAGATTTTGCAAAGTTGGAATTGATTGATTGAACTTTTTAGTCCCACCCAGTCTGCCATTACCACGCCCACCCAATTGGCCACATCCAGCCAATGGGCCACACCCAGCCAATGGGCCACACCCATCCAGCACCCGACAATGCATAAGTGGGTTTTGGGTTGCAGTTTGGGCACTCGGTCTCTAAAAGGTTCGCCATCACTGTGCTATATTAACTGTCAATATAAATTGGTGTCAGATAAGAGTCTACGGACTTCAAAGGGAGATGACTTTGGTCTCTTTCAGGGGCACAGAGACGCCAGACTGATGATGTGTTTGACCTGCTCTCTGGCTCAGCCTGTCCATCTACAGCAGGGGTGTCAAACTGCCGGCCCACAGGCCGGATGCGTCATCCGGAAGCCGCACCCACCCCATTGCCAGCAATGGCGAAACTGTCCCAAAACTGTAGACATGTCTGATCTACAGAAATAGGTGCTGTGGTGGCACAGTGGTTGGAATGCAGTATTGCAGGCTGACTCTGCCCACGGCCAGCAGTTTGATCCTGATGGGGCTCAAGGTTGTCTCACCCTTCCATCCTTCTGAGGTCGGTAAAAAGAGGATCCAGATTGTTGGAGACAGTATGCTGACTCTGTAAACTGCTTAGAGATGGCTGTAAAGCAGTGGTTCTCAATCTTTTTAATGCCGCGACCCCCAACCGGTCGTAAGTCGAGGACTACTCAACCGATCGTAAGTCGAGGACTACTCAACTGGTGCAGCACCGTTTGCAGAATGGGACTTTTGGCGGGCTCAGCAGGGCAGAGACAGCCTGGACAATTCCTATTGGCTTTTAAAAGCCAATAGAATTAGACTCTATTCAAGAGAGTTTATTCTATTGGCTTTCAAAAGCCAATAGAATAAAAGGGAGTAGCACAGCTAAGGAAAAGGGGGAAAAAATGGTGGACTGCATTGTTTGGCAACCCCCGTGAAGTGGTCGTTCGACCCCAAATGGGGTCCCGACCCACAGGTTGAGAACCACTGCTGTAAAGCACTATGAAGTGGTATATAAGTCTAAGTGCTATTGCTGTTGCTAAGTCAAGATAGTTTTTGAATAATCACACATGAAGTTCAGGGTTTACACAAACAATACACTACTCTGCAACTCAACATCCTTGAGCTCCTATTTCTTGCATAAGTGTAACAATTGCACAATATAATAATAATAATAATAATAATAATAATAATAATAATAATATAGTTTTGGAAGGGACCTTGGAGGTAATAATAATAATAATAAAGTTGGAAGGGACCTTGGAGGTCATCTAGTCCAACCCCCTGCTCAGGCAGGAAACCCTATACCATTTCAGACAAATGGCTGTCCAGTCTCTTCTTAAAAGTTCCAGTGTTGCAGCATTCACCGCTTCTGGAGGCAGGTTGTTCCACTGATTAATTGGAATAATATCATTAATATCTTACTAATTGGAATAATATTTTATTAATTGGAATTAAAATCTTTAAAAGATTTGAGTGTGTGTATCTGTAGCACATGAACTGTCCTTGGTATTTGTCATATTGGATTAAACTTTTTGACACTTGGAAAAATTGAAGCAATCCATGGTTAGCCATCACACTAAGAAACCCCAGATGCATTTTCCAGAAGCCACACTTAACATGCAGTAAACCTATTAAAAGGTTTTCAAGACTGATCCATTATTGGAATCCTGTACCTTTCAAAGATATATTCAAGATCTCAGAGAATCAACTATAGAGATCATTTATGTTGCTGGGGAAGGAAAAGAGCTACATTATTAAATACAAAAGCCAGTTTAGCTATAGCAATAGCAATTAGACTTATATACCGCTTCATAGAGCTTTACAGCCTTTCTAAGCGGTTTACAGAGTCAGCATATTGCCCCCCCCCAACAATCTGTGTCCTCATTTTCCTGATCTCAGAAGGATGGAAGGCTGAGTCAACCTTGAGCTGGTCAGGATCGAACTCCTGTCAATGGGCAGAATTAGCCTGCAATACTGTGTTCTAACCACTCTGCCACAACAGCTCTTTAGTTTGGTCTAGTGCAGTGGTAGGCAACCTTGGCTCTTTTATGACTCGTGGACTTCAACTCCCAGAAGTCCTGAGGCAGCCATGCTGAGGGGAAAGGGAGAGGTTTCCAAGCTGAGCCATGCTGGCTCAGGAATTCTGGGAGTTGAAGTCCAT